TGAATGTCTGGAGGTGTAGGCACCTCGGAATGATTGTGTTAAGCTAGCACTAAGTCCCTCCCCCATCCACCTTTATTCTTTTCTTTACAATAAGGCTTTCAAATAAGTCATGGCTGTACGGTAGTAAAGCATTGGTGTTGAGCACTGATGTCATGCTGTCGTTGATGATGGTGATGACTATGTCGAGCATTCTGAGGAGGCTACAACTCCAGCTCAATCAGACAATGTGGAAAGAAACTGACAGCACGACTGCCACTGGTATCAACTAGTCGCCATTCTTTGCAACGTCTCCACCCAAGCATAGACGGGGTCACGGGGACCCCATCCTGGAAGGCGTACAAAACCAACAGCATCCAAACTCCTCGTGATCTCTTTCAAACCTTTCTGCCAAGTCATTTGCCGTCCACCTCGCGGTTTCGCCATCCTGAAGGAGGAACGGAGAACAAATCTCGTCTTGGTAGACGGTGTTTCGGCATGCGTGTCACATGACCGAGCCATCCTATTCGGTGGTGCTGGATATTTCCCCCGATCGAAGTACCTGCCGCACAATCACCTAGTTACTAACACGCTGACGCCATCCAAAACCAGCCGCGCTTCTGAAGCATCGGTGATCAAAACCTGAAGCCACCTCACATCATCTGTCGGCAAAGGCCATGTCTCGCACCCATACAACATAGCCCTTACTGTAGCCTGGCACACGCGACCCTTAAGATCTAGTGATATACCTTTTGACGCCACAAGTGACGCGAATTAACAAACTTGACTCGAGCCTTTGAGATTCTTGTACTGGCTTCTGGCACACGCCTTAAGATCTAGTGATATACCTTTTGACGCCACAAGTGACGCGAATTAACAAACTTGACTCGAGCCTTTGAGATTCTTGTTTGTACTTCATTAGACACTATGTTCCAACCCCAACCTGGAGAGCCAGGAGACTGTGTTCGTCAGACCTCTACCCATTCATCAACCTGGTATGAGACTCTGTGAGTGTCCCGCAGGAACCCCAGTATAGCTCAATGGGTCGCCGAGGTACACAAACCGCCACAATATGTTAGGATCCAGTCTCTTCGTGAAGGGGCGAACCCCATAATTTCTACTGTTCATTTTATAGCAGGCAAAAAGACCAGTAATAAAACAGTAGAACGATCCGCTGCTTCGGCACACAAAACACTTGTGGATAGATGTTCGCTCATTGAATCTCAAATGACCCCAACACCTACCCTAGACAGACACAAAAGCATACAGGGATATGGACGAAACTTGGTTGCAACGATTACGCTGACTCTCCTTCCCCTTTTACCTGGTCATCGACTGTGAAACTCTTCCCTCTAAATTCATCCTATGTTACTCAAACAATGTCCAAAACTTCATCTGAGAGAGCCATATCTCATAATTGAAATGGATGAAAAAACCCTAGGACAAACAAGCCTCCAATTCAGCAAGATCATGCGAGTCGATATAGGATCACACGGGTATTTCCAATCCGACCTTCAGGGTCTTACGATAGCACAGTGGTCAGACAGGATCGGTGAATATCAAAATGTGAAAGACGAATGCATAGAAAACCCAAACAGACAAGTCTTACCGGTGATTTCCGTTTTCTTTGGTTTCATTAACTGACCCATCATAGAAACGATATCTTGACCACCTTGAGGCCGGGCGTTAGCAACATCAAGGTCATGAAGGGTAACATCCTGAACGACTTCTTTCTTTTTGTGCACTTCACCTTTCGGGAGAGGTACATATTCATCAGCCTCCAAATCGTACTCCGCTGTATATACATCACACCTCCCCTGACGTTTAACAGCACCCGAGTTAGCCTCAATGTAGATGACATCGCCAACCTCAACGTGCTCCTTCTGTAGGCTTTCATATATACAAGGATCTAGCTTCAACTGTTTCACTCCTTTGGCCGTCCGAAGACTAATTATGACATGACTGATTGTTTTTCCAAGTCCTTAAGCTAATTAAAATTAAAAGGGACCAAACCTCCAGTAGGGCTCTCTGTCTCAACAGGAGTTAGTTCGGTCACTTCGCCTTCATATACTTCTTTTATCTCTTTTATTCTCAACCCTGAAGATAGAGACCAAATATGCGCAAGACAAACCGATTGCCCTCCGAAAGTTCTCCATCAGCACCTCCGTTTTCTTAATTTCTGACGAATAAACCTCGCTACCGACCATTGGGCAGAATGGAACTTTGTTCCCTAAATCTTGTGCAATGGCCATGGCAATCGCGGTCTGGTAACATAAACTGGAAAATGAATAACAGTAATACCTTTCCCGTCCCGGGTGGACCAGCCATCAGAACTGCCCTTCCCGCCATTTTTTTCGACCTGATCATCTCCACAACAATACCGGCGGCCTGAAGCGTGAAACAAAAAGCAAAGATGTACCTCACGAGCGCATTCTTGGCCCACCAATCCTGCAGCGCTGGGCAACGGAATGCCATTTTCATCAAGACCGAGCCCTTTAATATGGGTGTGGGCAGCCACACGTTGTGCCTTCGAAGTACTTCGAACCTCTTCGATGCGCATGGCGTGTTGACTGCAACAATGCGTGACCTTGACACCTCCACACTTTGTATGAGCCGCTCTGTGATAAGGTAGCTATGGTTTCGGTGAGAAAGTTCCAGCGGGCGCGCAGACGAGTGGGAAACGACTCGTGTGTGCCTGGATAATAGTACATGGGATAGAAAGCCGACGGCGCGTATGGTGTGCTCGATGTGTAATGTGCCTGCGTTAAGCCTCCTGTGGTTGGTGAAAGGGAAGGGAAATATGGACCTAGTTAACTATTTCGCCGGATACAGATGAATTCGGGCAGACGGTACTTAGGATTAAAGATACAGTGATGAATGACTGGCATCTAACCAGTGTCTTTTGTTCTATGTGGATAAAAAAATAAGGTGTTATTGCCAGTGGAGCTACCCTTCAACTTTGTTGGAGTACTTGAATTATATAGTATGTCCAATCAGGGGAGGCAGGAGGACTGATTAGCAGTTAACCGCGAGGTACAGCGGATACAGTGGATTCGAAAAACATTGATAGAATAAAATCGCTGTGAACGAGAATGAATTTCTCCGCGACTTTCAGAACAAGTATTTGATAGGG